TTTTGTTTCTTTTGTGCCTTTTTTGTTTGTATGGATGGTTGTTCCTCTTACTGCATTTTCATGGCATAACGAGCAGACTATGTAGCTTTAGTTTTCACATTGCCTTCTTGCTGGCAAACTCTTGGATGAGTTTTATTTCTTTATTTTGTTTTAAATGGTTATTCAATGGTCATTGATTGCTTGGCAAGCTGGATGGGGCAATCAGGAAAGAGAATAGTGTGACATGGATGGTCGATTCACCTTGTCTGCTGAATTTTATGCAGGGTTATGACAACATTGGGAAGATGAATAGAAAGTGAGCATTTTAAGGAAAATATATATTATTTTAGTTGTCCTTCTCCACTGTGAATGATCTCCTGGCTCTTGGAAATTTTAGTTTTTTGGTGGTTTGTTGTCTCTTTCTTTCATTTGTTTTGCTTTCTTTGCGTGTGTACTTCTAGTGTGCTTAAATTGTCTAGTCTCCTGTGATGCTTGTCAACTTCCTCTGATCTTAGTGTAGCTATTTCATTTTCCATGTTATTGAAGTCGTTATTTCCCTCCCCCCACAGGTCCGGGAAGACCCTGTTTTCCGCAGAGAAGGCTCAAACATTCATGTTGATGCTGTTTTAGGCATTACTCAGGTAAAACCTTTTGTGTTTCATGGTCCTAGAAAAATACTAAGATTCTAATGAACGGGAATCCTTTCGTGTTTGCTATGTGGTTCAGTACATTTCAATGTTCTCATTTACAAATTTCTTTGTTAGCTTGAGATATGGGTCATACTTGTACGTTTATTTTTTAAATAAAGTGTGGCACTCGGTTCAGATGGTCTTCTTGCTGAAACATATAGATTTGCAGCTTGATTTGATATATACATTTTATAAATCATAACTATTTAGTATTTAATGCAAAATTAATTCAATTTCTATTTGCAGGCAATTTTGGGGGGAACCATCCAGGTTCCAACTCTCACGGGAGATGTTGTACTTAAGGTTTGTTGGAAATCATTTTGCATGATTTGATTTTTCTAAAAAATAAACTAACTCATCTTACCTTAACCTGTTATATATTTTCAGGTACGCCCTGGCACCCAACCTGGTCAAAAGGTGGTTCTGAAGAATAAAGGTGAGATGAATGCCAGTTCTTGCTTTCCTCACACCTGTCGAGATAGCTTTTGGTGCTATATTCC